CTTCTTCCAGTCACCTGGAACTTCACCTGACAGCCATGACCTCTTAAATATTACGGACAGTGGCCGAGCAACTTCATTTGCCAGCTCCTTCAGCACCCGTGGATGGATTTCATCAGGTCCCATGGACTTGTGCACGTTCAGGTTCTTAGGGTGGTCTCGGACTTCATCCTCTCCTACAGTGGGCCTAAGGTCTTCATTCTCACAGTCCCTGCGTTGGCCTTCCAAGACTTGGGTAGTGTGGTCTGAGCATTTACTAGTGAAGACAGAGGCAAAGAAGTCATTAAGAACCTCAGCCTTCTCCAAATCCAGGGTAGCCAGTTCTCCTGATAGCTTCCGGAGAGGGCCCATGTTGTCCCTAGTCTGTCTTCTATTTGCTACGTACCTATAGAAGCCTTTCCTGTTATTTTTGACATCCCTTGCCAAATTTAATTCTAACTGGGCCTTAGCTTCCCAGACAGCTGGTCCCTGGCTTCCTGAACAACGTTCCTGTAATCTTCCCAGTTTGCCTGTCCTTGCTTCCACCTTCTGTAAGCTTTTTTCCTCTAAGTTTCCTCCGCAGCTCCTTATCCATGCATGGAGGTCTCCTGGCCCTCCTGCTGCACTTCCTTTTAGTCGGGATGCAATGCTTCTGAGCCTGTAGCGGGTGATCCTTGAATATCAACCAGCAATCCTTGAATATCTACCAGCAAATCCAAATTCTTCTTTGTAGTATGAAGAAATATTCTGTGTTAAGTAAATAATTTTGATCTTTCCCCACTGAAAAGAATTGAAGTTGTACAGTAGGAGCAACCTGAAAAAAATTCTGATTCAACTTTGTTATTAGTCCTTGATTCTTAGGTTGACGTTGTTTGTCACATGAAAACTGAAATGTGGAAAAAGTCATCCCTAGAATTGACACTGTGCCAAAGTTATTCTTAGGGAGACTTTTTAATTCCTTCACTTAAGTAGGGTTTTGCACTAATACAGAATTTACTGTTTGTTTGTTTTTCTCTCCAGGACAATTGATATTTTAGAGCTGACAGAACAAGAAGAATTGCTGAAATTTCACTACCATACCCTCCGATTATATTCAGCTGTTTGTGCTTTAGGCAACAATCGAGTGGCCCATGCTATGTGTAGCCATGTGGATGAATCTCAGCTCCTATATGCTATTGAGAATAAGTATATGCCAGGATTATTACGTGCAGGATATTACGACTTACTCATTGACATCCATCTCAATACCTATGCAACTGCCAGGTTAATGATGAATAATGAATTCATAGTTCCAATGACAGATGAGACCAAGAGTATTACTTTGTTTCCTGATGAAAACAAAAAACATGGCCTCCCTGGCATAGGACTTAGCACTTCATTAAGGCCAAGAATGCAGTTCTCCTCTCCAAGTTTTGTAAGCATCAGCAGTGAGTGCTTTCAGTTCAGTCCTGAATTCCCTCTGGAAACTTTAAAAGCCAAAACCATAGAGATGCTGACTGAAGCTGTTCAGGAGGGCAGCCTCCATGTCAGAGACCCAGTTGGAGGTTCTACAGAATTTCTCTTTGTCCCTCTCATCAAACTCTTTTATACCCTCCTGATTATGGGAATCTTCCACAGTGGGGATCTGAAACACATCTTACAGTTGATTGAGCCCCGGGTTTTCAAAGAAGGAATGAGCCAGGAGGATGAAATTGATTTCTCAGATAAAGAGCTGAGTTCAGGTGAGCTCAAGTCAGAAGGAGAAGAAGAAACCAGAGGGGAACAAGTGCCAAAGGAAGGGCTTCTTCAAATGAAACTTCCAGAACCCGTTAAGTTACAGGTAACAATACTGCTGTGATAGTGGTTGTTCCCATTTCTTCACAATTACTTTTTTCTTTGTTTGATCATTTCACTGTCAAGGAATATAGCATTTTGATGTTAGTTAAACAGAGAAGTAATTTCCTTAATGAAACAACAGGATTTAGTATCTTCCTAATGATATAAACTTGTTCACCATAGATCAAAGAACTGTTGTTTCATTAAATATATTGGGAGTTACTTTCCCAATGATATTAACAGGGAATTATTTGTTTTTATGGATCTAAACAGAAAGGAAATTCCCTAGAAGCAAGGGGTAAATTCTTTCTCATATAACTTTTATTAAAGTTTTACATTTTACATGTTAGGTATTGCTGGTGTAGGATTTCTTCACATGTACTGAATGACAGCATTAAAGATTTTGGTTGCTTTATTTGCATAACATGTAAAAGATATTTATTAGCTTGCCAACTCTTCTTTTTTTTATGATACTGTTTCTCAGATGTGTCATCTACTCCAGTACCTTTGTGATTGCCAAGTACGACACCGAATAGAAGCCATTGTAGCATTTTCAGATGATTTTGTGGCCAAGCTTCAAGAAAATCAACGCTTCCGGTACAATGAAGTGATGCAGGCCTTGAACATGTCTGCTGCCCTGACAGCTAGAAAAACAAAAGAATTTCGATCCCCACCTCAGGAGCAGGTACAGCTTAGAACAGACAATTTACTTTTTGTTGTGCTCTACGTGTGGCAGAGCTTTGTTTGAATTCAAAGTTTTCCTTTGTTTCTTTAAGATTAATATGCTGCTGAACTTTAAAGATGATAAAAATGATTGCCCCTGCCCTGAAGAAATTCGGGATCAACTCTTGGAATTCCACGAAGACCTAATGACACACTGTGGTAAGTCTTGTTACTGAACCTTTTTACTTTTCAAATATCTGGTCAAACTAGAAGGGAATGCAGAATGTTTTGCTTCATGAGGGAAGAGTGGCCTTTTTTTCCACCCATACAGAATGCAGAAAATCAGACAATTAAAAACAGATGCAATAAGTTGAGAAGAATGATATAATGTCATGAAGAAGCATCATATAAAATTCAAGACTGCTAAAGAACTCCCCACAAACCTCTTAATTTTAAAACTTACATTGGAAACTAGAAAAAAAGACAAAACCCAGAAAAAACATCTGGATGACCCTTTTATTTTGAACTTGTTTTAGTGGGAGTAATAGATAAATAGGTATAGGTCAAAATTTTTAATTCCTGTACAATGTATGCTTGAATGAGTAAACTTGAAAACATGAGAGAAATGGGCTGATGGGAATCCCATGAAGTCCAGCAATGGGAAGAGTTAAGTCCTGCACATGGGGAGGAATAACCCCATGCAGCAAGGACAGGCTAGGGACCAAACTGGAAAGCAGCTTGTCAGGAAAGGACCTGGTGGTCCTGGTGGACAACAAGGTGAGCATGAGCAACAATGGGCCCTTGTGTCCCCAAGGATACCCCAGTACAAGAAATTCATGGACACACTGGAGTGAGTCCAGGGAGGGGCCATCAAAGATGATTAAATTCTTGGAGCGTCTTTTGTACAAGGAGAAACTGAGAGGGATACTGTTTTTTAACTTGAAAAGAAAGCTCATGGGGGAAATGTATCGATGCATATAAATACCTGTTGGGCAGGAGGGGGTAAAGATAGAAGACTGAGCCAGACTTTTGTTAGTGGTGCCTAGTGACAACAGAAGAGACAATGGGTACAAATTGAAATACAGGAAATTCTTTTTTTTTTTTTTTTTTATTTTTATTTTTTTTTTTAAATGTGTTTATTTTTACTGTAGGAGTGATGGAATTCAAGAACAGCTTTCCCAGAGAGGTTGTGGAGTCTCAACTTTAGGAGATACTCAAAACCTGACTGGACATGGTCCTGTGCAACCTGCTTTAGTTGAACTAGCTTTGAGCCAGGGAGGCTGGACTAGACAATCTCTAAAGGCTAATTCCAACCTCAGCAGTTCTGTGATTCTGTAAAGCTTCACATGCAATTTTCTTATTTTAAAATTATTTTTTTAATTTACATTTTCATGCTTGTTATTAGAATATCATGAAAGAGCTACTCTATTGTGGAGCAGGCTATTTTCTACTGATTGGTCAGTAGGAAGTATATTTATTGCAACTGTAGTTCTTTCACTTCTGTATGTTTTACCTAAAATTTTCCTAGTCTTTACTAGTATCAGCTGAACCATACTGGGTCAGTAGGGACTACATCTGCCCTTCTTAACTACATATGTTCAAAACACAGGCGTCAGTGTTAGCATGAAAACATTCATACCGGGGGAGTTGACCACAGATACGTATTTACTAAGTATTTCATGCATAATAACGTATATATGATACAAAATTAAATTAATAAGGTTACATGATCCTTATCTGAAGTTTCTTGTCTTGCGCATATACCTGATCTATACTTGTTCCAAACTGCTGTTTAAGCATATCCCATTTCAAACTATTTTATAGTTCTAACAGAACAGAACAACATAGTTCAGTTTCATTATGTTTGTACGTACAAGATACATAATACGTCTGTAATATATTTAATTTTATTCTTTGACTATTTAGTGTATATTTTTTATTTCAGGGATTGAACTAGATGAAGATGGAACCTTGGATGGAAACAATGATTTAACCATTAGGGGTCGCCTTCTATACCTTATGGAAAAAGTTACGTATCTGAAGAAGAAGCAAGCAGAGAAGCCAGTCGATGATGATGATAAGACATCCTGTAAGCAAAATTAAAACTGTTTATTATTTCCTAATTCCAAAAGGTAAAAGAAGTATGGGAGGAAGTATTTTCAGCCAAAGCCAGGTGGATTCTTAGTGCAGTATCTGTGCACCTTGACGTTTGTAACTCTTTCTCAGAACAAGCTCAGGTGGAATTTTTGATAGGCAGATATGCTTCCCAGTGGGATGCAGTGGAAAACTTCTTCTACTGGCTTTTTCACCCTTGATCCTTTTTCAAGTCAAAATTTTCCAGAATTTATCTTGGTTTTTGTAAAATTGATATAGACTTAATAATTGTAGCAAGGTCCTGATTATGATAACTTGCTTGCAAAATCAATTGCAGCTGTATTTGCATGGAGATTACCAAATCAATGAAGACTGTGCAATTAGGCCATGATTTGCAAAGCTGTATTTAGGTGAAGCCTCCCCATCCAATCTAAAAACCAGGATTTGCTGACTGTGATTGTTGGTCTGTCATTTTTCTGATATTTTCTGTCTTTCCATCTTGATAAGAATCATTGTCAGTGGTGTCCAAGTTTTGCATTTAGTGCCAACTGATTACTGATTATAGAATTTTTTTTTATTTTTTACTTGTGCTGATTTTATTAGAGTGGATTTTTTCTTTTTTTTTTCCTTTTATTTTTTTTTTTCCTCTGTGTGTGTTTGTTTGTTTGTTTGTTTTGTGGGGTTTCTTTTCTTTTTCCTTTATTGGGTGTCACTTTCAGATGTCCTAATGTTTTATGCTGCTACCGTACTAAGAGGAATGAATTTCTTGACACAAAGTTCAGGTGTTCTGACTTTGGTAAAAAAAAATGCTTTCCATCATTGATTACACAGAATTCCTGGGGACACTGGCCTTTTAACTTGGTTGCTAATGTAAGTGCCTACAGTTACAGGATGAGATTTCCCTATGGTATTTACAATAAGATGGCTTCTTAGCTGCCAGTTATTAGTGTTAGCTTAGCAATCTTTAAATAGAAGTATCTTCGTTCTCCTAAAAATGCGCCGTCTAGCTTTGCAGTTTGTAACTGTTACTTCTGTTATCAGGCAACAACAGTTAGAAGCTAGGTCTGTGCAGAATGTGATGATGAATCCTATGGTTTCCTGTTATGTTTTTTTTTCCTGTAGTAAGCTTAAAGCTCTACAAACCTTATTCTTTCTCACTTATGTTAGTGGAATGATGGCATTGTATTAAGTTAATTACACAGTATTATGGTGGCTAGGATGCTTGGGTTCTTCATTGCAAGCAAGATGATGGCCAGACCCACAGGCAAGTAGGATGCAGTATTGCAGTTATTAAAACAGGAACCAAATGACAGTCTGCTCATGTGATTCTTCACAAAAAAAAAACACCCAACCAAAACCAAAGAAAACTTACTGTTGTGTTCCTTCTTGTTATTTATTGTAGTCCTTCTGAACTGTCATTTTATCCATTTCTTATTTTTAAAGTGTTTTTATTCCAAAAAACACTGTGCTGTGTGACAGTGGAAACCCCTATAGTACAGTGTTTGGACAGTAACAATAAAATGTAGTACTTTTACTCTTTTTGTCCGTTACCCTGTATGAGTACATCTTAGCACAAACTTTCTTTTGTTAAACAATGTAATTTCTGTAAACTCCTGTCCCTTCAATATCTTTCTTTATGTACTTTTTGTTTGTTTGAGTTCAGCCTGAAGTTGCATCTAGTTTACTCCAAAATCATATTACTGTCTCAACACATAGATTTCTAATTTGAAAACATTTTTGATGTTTAGTCTGCATCAGCCACCTTCTTCAATATCAGGATAGTTATTAGGGAGTTCATTTTACTTCAGGAGGGATTATCACATTTCCCTTGTCAAATTTTTGCTGTTACCTGCTTAATGAGGAAATAAATTGATTAGTCATGTAAGTACTAAAGGTGAAATTGACCAGTGTGTAACTATCAGAATATCTCAAGAGAATCCCAAAGTGATCTGACAGAGTCTTGCAAGCGTGAATGGAAGTTCCCTGAGATGGGAAAAAGAATATTATTCAATTGTCTTTATCAAATAATTTTTCTTGACTCTTAGTTCATGAGTAATTTTTCAAAGCAGTAGTCTCAAATCTTTACTGACATTATATAGTTTGTGTATATGACTTTTCCAAATATATAGAGAAACATATCCCAATTAATAAAGATTGTCAGTGAGAATACCAGATATGAGTTTCTTGCTTAATTGGAGGCTGAATTTAAAATATGCAAATGATGATTTGCCCTTTTTTTGTTTAAAGTCTCTTAATTTCTGTTTCTTTTGAAGGACCTTTGGTTTTGGCAAAGGACTAAGTTAAATTATTCTGTTTTGTACATGGATACAGAGCTTATACATGTAAATCAATAAAAGAGCATTTACATGTGCTGCCAGTATATTTTTCCACTCTTACTTCATAATATCTAAAAAAACTCCTCATACCTGAATTCCAGGAAAAATCTTGAAAGCATAATGTAGAAATAAACCTGGTGACTTTGTGAGCATCTTGTATGTCTTCATAATTGTTTGTTAGCAGGTTTATTATCTGTATTTTAATTTTAAATATAGGCTTTTGCTTCTCCTGTGTGATTTTATTTTCCTTTGATAGTCTGCTAAAGAAATACCGAGAAAAAGGTGCTTCTTAAGAATTTAATTTATTCAATTCATGTTGCATAATGCATTTTTCAGGGACTACCAGTAGAAAGATGAGCAACTAATGATGATTTTGTGGTTTATGTATTTTCTTACAGCTACTCTTCAACAGTTGATTTCAGACACAATGGTACGCTGGGCCCAGGAATCTGTGATAGAAGACCCGGAGTTAGTGAGGGCCATGTTTGTATTGCTACATCGCCAATATGATGGTATTGGTGGCCTGGTGCGAGCCCTACCAAAGACCTACACCATAAATAGTGTGTCTGTGGAAGACACAATCAATCTTCTGGCATCCCTCGGCCAAATCCGTTCCTTGCTTAGTGTCAGAATGGGAAAGGAGGAAGAGAAACTTATGATTCGTGGATTAGGGTAAATAAGTGGAGTATAACATCTTTTTATTTACGAATATTTGTTGTTAATTGCTGTATGGTTATTGCCAAGGTTATACCTGAAGTTTGAATGTGAATAGTCTATGTGTATAAATGCAGACACTGATATGAGTTATGTAGTATCTTCAGTTGTAAGATACCTTGCAACATTACATGTATCATTTTTGGAGAAAAACAAATGTAAGACTTCTTGTGAGAAAAGTTGAAAACAGGTACGTATGTAATGTGTTACGATATTACAAAATATATCTTGTGACCATATTTTAAATAGTATGATTGTGTGGAATCTTATTAAGAATACTATTTTATATGAGTGTAGTAATAGGTAGCTGTTGACACATACAACTCCCCCAGCAGTCAGCTAATGGAGTTGTGTCCACATGCGTCTGTACATATGCCATCTTTTTATTGCACTGAATGTAGCTGGTACTATTTGAACTATGAAGTAGTTCACCCAGTCTAGTTTTTCCTGATTATATGATTAATAATATTGAAATAGAGCCTAATAAAGAGTACAATCGGAGAAAACAGTAAAGAGTTTGGGTTTTTCACTCTGACTGTTTTCAAAGAGATATCTGGTGAGATTAAACATCAGCAAAAGCAATGACAAAGATGGCGTATAAAGAATGCCAGGAATGCAAGGTGTGCAAAGTACCACTTTTTTTTTGAGCTTACTGGAAACCTCGAATATCCAAATAGTGTCTATACAATAATTTTGTAGTGTCATTATGAACAATGCCTTCCTAGCTTGCCAACAGATTCCATCAATGTTCCCTGGTTGTTTCATTGTTGAGTGTACTCATGCTAAAGCTTTGGCAAAAGGGAAAGTCCACCATCTGTTAAGAGACACAAAATACTGGTATTTCAAAATTTGTCTTTGTACTTCAAATTTATGTTGTCACATTTCACATAAGCTAGTGAAGTCTAAAATGAGTGGAGTCAAAAACTCTGATAGTGACACCTACATCAGACACACTGCATGGATTCTGTTGCATGACTGATATGGATTTGTAGCTTTTAGAGTGATGGAACGGTACTCTTCGCTTTTCATCCTTTGTAAGACTGAAATTTTCATTGCCTGATACCAGGAGTTTTAGCTGAGGGCGGAAAAAAAAAATAAAGAAGAATTTTAGATTTGGAATGGCATTTCTGCTGAAAATAGAATACCATCCTAATCTGGTGTAATCAAGTAGCGTTTAGGGTAATAGCTATAGTATGGGAAAAGGAAGGTGAAGGTTCTTCCACAATGTGCGTAGAAAAATAGAGTATTAGAAGAGTTTTGAGACTCAACCTGGAAAAGTCCCCAAGGTAATTTTTCACCTCAAGTGGTGTGGAATTGCACACTAAATCAGCTTTGTAAATAACACAATAGCTAAACTATCGATGCATAGCATTTTAATCCAATTTTTATTTTGTTTTCTTGTAGAGACATCATGAATAATAAAGTATTTTACCAACACCCAAATCTCATGAGAGCTTTAGGCATGCATGAAACTGTCATGGAAGTGATGGTAAATGTGCTTGGTGGAGGAGAATCCAAGGTAAAGCAATTCACTGTTAGAAGACAGAGAGTTTAGAATATATCTGTGCAAAGCTTTAAACCTGTAAGGCAGCCACTTGGAGATACTGAGACCATATAACCTCTTGCTAATTTTCATTAGCACAATAGTTGACTCAGTTTTTAGAAGGATCTACCCTTCCATTCTGGAGGAAGATACAATTAGCATGGTAATTTCAGATGCTTTAAAGAAAAAAACTTCAATAGCACTTTATATGCTTACTGGGCTTTAAAGGCGAGATCTTCTTAGAAACTAATTAAAAATCAGTGTAGTATTACTCTATGAATCTGAGCATTCACATTCGTGTTTGAATCTAGAATTTGTGATTGATCAAGGCCAGGTTGGACGGGGCTTTGGGCAACCTGGTCCAGTGGGGGGGTGTCCCTGCCCATGGCAGGGGGTTGGAACTAGATGGTGTTTAAGGTCCCTTCCAACCCAAGCCATTCTACAATTCCATGATTCTATGGTCTCAGCTTTTGGTTTTGAAGCTTATACCTCTTGATTTTCAGGGCTTAAGGAGTGAGTTACTTGTTGAGAAATACCAGCTGATTCCAGTGTGAAACCTAAACAGTTAACTTGATTGAGGTGGAAGGAATACAATGCATAAATATTAGTGTGATAAAAGGCATAATGCATAAATATTAGTGTGATAAGTAATCTTCTGCAAGTTTTATGCCTGTCGGAGTTCGAGCCTCAGTCTGTTTTTATTTGCTTCTTAGGAAATCACTTTCCCAAAGATGGTGGCAAACTGCTGTCGTTTTCTATGTTATTTTTGCCGCATCAGCAGGCAGAATCAAAAAGCTATGTTTGATCATCTTAGCTATTTATTGGAAAACAGCAGTGTTGGCCTTGGTAAGTAGTAAGTGTGTCTTTTTAGATTCTAAACCAAAACTAAAATCTTAAAACTTTCTGCTGATTTATATATACATACGTTATATATAAATAAAACTACTTGTGGTTTTCTGCATCCTTTGCACACTCTGCTTGTGTTGAGGTTTCTCATTTACCCAGTGCAAAAATGTCTTCATTAACTGTATTGATAACTCCAAACAAACCCCTGGTAGTAGGATTGGGGTAATTTAGGCTTTTTTGTATGTGCCTGGCCATTCAGAGAGAGGTGGTGATTGGTTGCATGTTTTGAGAATACACTCATGTTTTGATGGAGAGAATCATAAACAAGTTTTGGCAGCATTTCATTAGGGCTTGCTTCTCACTTCTCAAGCTTAATCCTCTTCACTTTCTTCCAGAGACTGTTTAGTATGCACCTATGGCAGTGGGAGGAATACAGAGCTCATTTGCCTGGGTATGCCTATATAGATGCCCAGAAATGAACCTTGAAATTTTCCTAAAATATTTGCCTTTTTTTTTTTCTTCCCCCTAGGGTTAGGTGTTATAGAGGAAATATATTTATCTTTTATTTACAGAAGCATAAACTGAAAAACATTTTGAAGAGAAAGTGCCCGAATCAAATGTATTTGGAATGTTAATATGAAAACCTTAGCTTTTTCTAATGCTATAATTACTGCCACTTTTTAAAGAAATAGAAATCATGTAATCTTTTATTTTAAAGGTATTGTCTATATCAATATATTTGCTAAAATGTCTGTGTTGGATATAAAATCCTTGTTATCTTTTAATGAAAACAAAGTTGTGTCAGTTTAGGAGAATTAGAAAGAATGACATCTTAAAACAAAGTATGTGATGAGAGTAAGTGAGAATGAGTGTGTAAGAAAAGTTCTTTCTAGCGTTACATTTTGATTTCATATCAGTGTCTCAAATTTCATGCAAGTGCACAATCATCTGAAGTGGTATAAATGATATGCTTACAATCATGTGCTAACTAATGACAAAATTTTTATTTTATTTTAAAAGCTAGTTACTGTATTTACTATGAATTTGTTGGGTTTTTATTAAGTTGGTGTTGAAATTAAATGTTGTTTTAACAGCCTCTCCGTCTATGCGAGGATCAACTCCTTTAGATGTTGCAGCAGCCTCTGTGATGGATAACAATGAACTTGCATTAGCGTTAAGGGAGCCTGATCTGGAGAAGGTTGGTAGCATCTTCATTAAGCATGTCTTTTTCCCCCTGTAGAGAGGGGACAATTCCTGTTTGCTGGAGTAATCAAAATCTGAGATTCTAAGAATTATATGGGAGTTTTAGGTTCCTGTCAGAGGAACCCTATTAGGATCTGATTGATTGTTCTTTCTGCTGGTGATCTGGATAGTTGAACTGAGTTTATGGGTATTACATACACGGGTGTAACCAAAAGGAATTTCCTCAAGGGCAGCTCTTACTTTCGGAATAATGGAGTCCATACCCAACAAAATTTCATTGCTAAAATCTTTCATTGTTGTTCTGTCTTGATGGTGACATGCAGTGGTGGCATAATGCAGTAGTGGTTACCAGAGGTCTTGTGACAACTTGTTATAATAAACAAGAAATTTTCATAGAGATATTTATTTGTATTTTTTCTTAACATTCATGCTTCAGAAAAGATTGAAGGAATTGTGATTAATTAGACTGAAGAATAAAAAACTCCTGAGAGCATGTGACAGTTGTGTAGAATATGTAAATTGATGCTGCAGTAAGGAATCGAATAATAGTTACTATATCAGTAGTGCATAAAAAAAGCAACTTAAATAATGGAAAGACAAATTTAAGATAGACACTAGAAAACACTTTCTAATGGAAAGTAAGAAAGTTAATAAATTTCCCATTTTTTTTTTTAAGACCTCCAATTTTGGAGATGCTATAACTTTTGTAGGAAAGCATCTGTCAGGAGTAATGTAAGTGTAGATGAGCCTTTCTTGGAATAATTAGATGGACTATATTTGTTTAAAAGGTTATTTTTAAACTTACCATTCTTATGAATGGTCAGCAGAAAGAAGGTGTTTGAACCAGTTGAATACTTACAATTCTTACAATTCAGAAAGGAGAGGGCAATCTGAAAACTACTACTGAGACTAGGTCTGGATTACAGGGAGTTTTAGTGCTGCATGTTTAAAAATAAAGGAAGAAAAAGAGTGAAAAGAAAAGGTTAAAATCAAAGACTAGACCTGTGAGTTACAGTTCATGGCAGAAGTAGGAAAAGACTCAGAAAGTGAACTGAGAAAGAGGCTGGTCTTCTGATTTGCCCAGAGTACTATATGATTTTTTTGGGGGTAATAGAACGTGGATGCCATATCCAAGACAATATACAAGGATGCTTCTCTTTGAAACCATACATCTTTTTCACAATTAATATCTTTTTCATCTTGTTTTTAGGTGGTTCGCTACTTGGCTGGGTGTGGACTGCAGAGTTGTCCTTTGTTGATTTCTAAAGGCTACCCAGACATAGGATGGAATCCAGTTGAAGGAGAGCGATATTTGGATTTTCTTCGTTTTGCTGTTTTTTGCAATGGTAAAGTAGGAGCCTATAAATTTTTTAACTTCCTCTAATGGTCAGATAAGTTTCTTATTTAAAATAGAATACAAGTAAACTTGGTAAGTTTATGTTAATTTAAAGGACAGTTAACAGAAAGAGTAGAATTATTCAAGACAAGCAATAACTTAGATGCCTATTTCACAAGTCGTATAGCGTCCTATGAGTCTACGCCCAATTTTTTATATCCAACTGTAGTCTTTAAAATGCCCACATCTCCACTGGAAGGCAGATTTTTAAATGTTTTTATGATAAAATTCATGCTAGACATAGTACAAATCCCCAATCTTTTAATGAAGATTTAGATAGTCCGATTTTAGGGTTTAACTGCTATATTGGTCCCCTCGTTAACTCTTTTACTGGGCTGTGAGTCTGTACTACAAATTAGTATCTTCAGTTATACTTTAAACATCCTTTAGTACATAGTTACTTCTTTGGCCCTATTTAATTTTTTAATTAAATCACATATTTTATTTCATAGCTTTTATTACAATATTAGAGGAGTATTTTTGTGTGTTTATGTGACTGTGTCATGATATTTAAACTTCCTTGTAGTTCATCTTTTGTATACCTTTTTGTTTAATTATATTTCAGAACATTTGATATAATCTTAAATACTGGTATTTTTTCTGTGTGGTAGGAGAGAGTGTGGAGGAGAATGCTAATGTTGTAGTCAGACTGCTTATCCGCCGACCTGAATGTTTTGGTCCAGCTCTAAGAGGAGAAGGAGGCAACGGTTTGCTTGCTGCCATGGAGGAAGCAATACAAATATCAGAAGATCCAACAAGAGATGGACCTTCCCCAAGTAATGGATCTAGTAAAACCCTGTAGGTGCAGTGGAACTGCTTTCATTGCCATAATTTTTGTTTATTTGTGGGTTTTTAATCTTAGTTGTGAAATGACTTGTTTGTTTAATATGTGAATTATCAGCTGGGTTCTTCCTTGGATTCTATGGAGAGTAGAGATAAATCTTCTACCAAATAATGCTTCCTTTGCCCTGTTAAATTAAGTAACTCTCTCTAAATATTAAATCCTCTTTAGAATTCTGTTTGTTCTTTGCCAGTAAGTTAAGAATCAATCCCGTGCTGCAAAATGAGACAGATAAATGGTAAAAAAGTAGATGTCACTGCAGTCTTTTAGGGACACATTCCGTTCTGTGTTATTCTGATAAAAGTCCACCACTTACACCCATGAGCAGATTTTCTTTTTAGTGCTGATGTAAAAACTTTCTTGTGTTTTTTAGTCTTTTAATTATTTTAACGTTTTAACTAACTACAGTGAAATGGAAGAACAAGAAGATGACACTATTCACATGGGAAATGCAATCATGACTTTTTATGCTGCTTTGATTGATCTCTTAGGACGTTGTGCCCCTGAAATGCACGTAAGTTTAATGTCTTCATGCATTGGCAAGTACAAGCTTAGTTGTTTTACTGCCTGTTTGGTGGTTTGTTGTTTGGCTTTTTCACACTAACATTTTATCAGGTATTAAAGCAGTGGTATGACTGCATAGTATTTTAATGTAAATAATGTGTTCATCTTCTAATTTGCAAGGAATTTCTGTAGACTGTTCTGAGGCTGGTCTTTTTAAAGGAATTATTCCATTGTTTCTCTTATTACTGTTCACTATGGTTGGTCTTCAACATTTTGTAATGAAAATTGTTTGGTCATCCATTAGGACAATCAAACTCCTCAGATTTCCCTATTCGTTGTGATGGAGTGATTAATTTTTTTTTTAAACCATGTTTTTATTCTCTTCATATACTGATTTAAACACACTGTTTAAATTGCATATAAAAGAGCAAATATTATAGGACATTAATCTAAAATGTGGGAATAAACATTGTCACTGGACATACACATCAGTATCTGCATTCACACCAATAAATCATATCAAAGGTAAGATGTAATCTTCAGCCATTAGATACAAAGAATTAGACACTATAAAACCAAGCCCTTACCACTTAGCTCCTAAGAGCTTGAATCTAGTTGAAAATATTTGTTCTTTATTATTCAAAATATCTTCCTGTTCTTCAGAAATTCTTAGTTCTTCATACTTTCTCATTTCACGCTGAAGTGTGCCTTAATTCATATAGATTAGTATCAGATTTGTGCAGAGATTGGTAACTTGAGAAAGGAGAGAGATACCCATATAATAAGGTCAGTATATGAACATTTATTTAATCTCTGTCTCACTGCCTTTTTAAAAATAAAAGTAAAAAAACTTCAGATACCTGAAAGTGTTATAATTTGTCCAGGACAGAAAAACTCTTGTTCATCAAATGAAAATCTGCTTTTGCTCTCCTTTTCCCCTCCTTCCATGGGCTACTTTCTTAATGCTTTTGTTCACCTATTTTACCCAACATTCCATTATGAAAATGGGCTTAATCTTATTTAATACTCAAACATCTAGATTTCTGGACTTTGCACCCAAAATATAACAAATAAATACAGATTGTGTGAAATCTACATTATAAATTATAATATGATTTTGAGAGCAGTCATTCTTGTGTATCTCTTTCAGGAAGTTGTCAGAACATGGACAGGTATAAAAGGTAAAAAGAAGACCTTGTTAATTTGTTATTTGTCTTTTTCTTAGCTAATCCATGCTGGTAAAGGGGAAGCCATTAGAATCAGATCAATTCTACGGTCTTTAATTCCACTGGAAGATTTGGTGGGAGTAATTAGTATTCCTTTCCACATGCCAACTATAGCTAAAGGTAAAATGATTATTCTACTTTTTTTCTCCCATCCCATTTTTATGTTTTGTAATTTAATGACATATTAGTACTCATACTTCTCGTGGTATTTAAAAATGTCATATAAATTAAACTATTATGTGAATTAGAAGAGAAATCATGTATTTCAAACATGCTTCATAAACTTTTCTCCATGCTATAAGCAATAATCTATGTACTCTTAAATCACTGATGTAAATCCCATTCATTTAAATTGAATCGTGAAAATCTATTACAACTTTAAAAAGAAATTTAAAATGCATACTTTCTATTTTTCTCTTTTCTTGATAACATAATCCTTAGCTTTTGCTGTTCTAACCCTATCAACTGTTTCTAGCAGATCTAAGGCACCAGAGTTGTTCCTCAGCAACTATGGTGAAGTTATAGGTGTGACATACATATGCAAATGCATTTCTTTGTGTTTTCTGCCTAGGCATAATTAGTTGCAATAGTGGGAGCTATGTGAGCATCGATATAAAAGGGAAAGGATGTATATTGCTTTTTGGGGTATCTGGAGAGAGTACATTATAATTGCACCACAGATTATCT